TTTATCATTTCTGTGTTAAGAATATTTGAATTACTCTCTTCTAGCCACTTGAAAATATGCAATGAATTGTTGTTAATTATAGTCACCTAGCACTACTATAGAACACTAAGAATTATTCTGTCTATCTAGCTGCAAGTCTGTATCCATCAAGCAACCTCTCCCTATCTCCCTCCCTCCTACTCTTCCCAGCCTCTAGTAATTCTGCTCTCTAGTTTTGTGAGCTCAACTTTTTTAACTCCCACATATGAGTGAGAACATGCGGTATTTATCTTTCTATGCCTGACTTCTTTCACTTAACCTGATGTCTTCTAGGCTCATCCATGTTGCAACAATGGATGACAGGATTTAATTCTTTTTTATTGGCTGAGTAGTATTCCATTGTGTAGATACACTACATTTTCCTTGTTCATTCAGCTGTTGATGGACATTTAAGTTGATTCCATATCTTAGCTATTGCGAATAGTGCTGCAATAAACATGAGGGTGCAGGTATCTGTTCGGTATACTGATTTCCTTTCCTTTGGATAAATACCCTGTCGGGCTGCATCATAGACCCCTCTACCCCATCCAGTGCAGGTCTTGAGCCAGGTAGTCAAAAGAAACACTGACGAGTCTCTGGCAAAGTGGACATGCTTTATTTTCAGACACTAGCTCTGCCAACCAGTGGTTCAGAGCCATGGACTTCCGTAGTGAAGAGTACACACACAAATGGCAATGAGCCAAAAAGGGTACCCTGGGCACACACACACACTAGCCCTACTCCCACACAACTTGTTTACAAAGGCTGTGCTGGATCATACCCAGCCGGACATGATGCGAAGGGACCTGACCAAGCCAACTCCGCTTTCCTCACATACCCAGTAGTGGGATTGCTGGATCATATGGTAGTTATACTTTTTACTAGCCGTATTTCAACTGCTCGATAGTCCCATGTTATTAGTGGCTACAATACTGATCAACTGTCATGGAAAGTTCTATTGAACAGTGGTGAGCTATAGTATTGTCTGTCATACAGTAGGTGATCAATAAATATTTGTTGAATAAATGAATGCTAAATGGCTAAATGTCAAACATTTGGAAAAAGCTGAGGTAAATAAAATATTACCTCATAGAATAAATATTTGGGATACAAAAATAAATATAAATTTATAAAAAATTAGTGCAACTAAATATTTAGTGGTTAAATCACAGGGGCTTGACCACGTAGTGCAGCAACACTTGTAACACTCAGCTTTCAGACTGCAACAAGCACTTTCACAGGCACTTATGGAGGTGCAAGGTATCTATTGGGTACCTTATTTTCCTCTAACACTTTCTCCTTTGCTTCATACTATTTACACTTGAATATTTCTAGGTTGAACAATTAACCATGATTCTTGTTATACATGATTTTTCTCCTTATAAATTATGAGGTATGCTTCGTCCTTAAAAGAAGAGAATTTGCAAAGTGGAATTTTTCTGGAAAGATACATATCCAAAGTGGAATTTATGACTACTTTATAAATGCTAGTTGATCAAACAATTCTACAAATGATAGGATTAGGGTGTAATCTAATCTCTATCTTTCTACTTTGTATTATTTAAAATTTAAAACAACTTGCAAAAAGGAGATCATGCTCTTCCTAAGGCGTACCACACTCTCTCAATATTTGTATTTGCTGCTGTTCCATTTCCTTATTTAAATATTGAAAGTCTTAATAATTTTTAATATAAAATTAACAATTCTCACAAGTATTATTTATGGTGGCAGTTTACTTTGGCAAAATTAATATGCATTTTTACCTTAACTGATTGATAGAATTCAACATACAAATACACAGTAGGACTGCTATGGTCTTTGTTTCCTTCAAAGCTCATGTGGAAACTTGATCCCCCATGTGGCAGTGCTCATAGGTGGGGCTTTTGGAAGGTTATTGAATTGTGTGGACTATGCCCCCGTGAATGTGTTAACCCATTCATGGTTAATGAGTGTATGGATTAGTGGATGAATTGGTAATCACAGGAGTGGCACTAGTGGTTTTATAAGGACAGCAAGAGAGCAAGTTATCTTGTGCTCTCGATCAGCCTTCACTATGTGATACCCTGCCCCATCCTAGAGTCCCCACAGAAGAGAAGGCCCTCCCTCAGCAGATGTGTCCCCTGGACTTTGGAATTCGCAGCCTCCCAAGCTGTAATAAATAAGTTCTGTTTATTTATAAATTATCCAGTTTTAGATATTCTGTTATAAGCAACAGAAAACAGACTAACACAGGATTTTCACCAAACATTTAGAATATTTACAAATATTTTAAATCAAATATTCAGGTATTAATTACAAATTTGAAAGACATGCTGTTGGGAAAATGGAACAATTTGGTCAGGCTCCCCTCGCCTCAGAACCAGTTCAAGGCAGTTCAGTAAACATTGTATGTGTGGCTGGAGTATGTGTGCCTGCAAGGCAGTGCCGCTTTGGCTGGTGTTTACTGCCTCTGGCGCCTGCCCTGTCTCCCCTCGCCTCAGAACCAGTTCAAGGCAGTTCAGTAAACATTGTATGTGTGGCTGGAGTACGTGTGCCTGCAAGGCAGTGCCGCTTTGGCTGGTGTTTACTGCCTCTGGCGCCTGCCCTGTGTGGTCATGTTTTTCCGGACCTGTGGCTTCCAAGGACCATGTGGCTGGTTCCCTAGCATATAGACCTGGCATGGAGGGGTCTGGTGACCCAACCTGGCATGTGAAGTGTTTGTGACCCAGTCTGTGAATGGGCTTGAGGGGTCTGGGAGCTCCAGACCCAGCCCTAGCTCAACAATCAGCCCAGTTGGTGCAGAATCACTGGCAGGTAAAAGAGCCACAACAACGAGTGTGGTCACCTAGCTTTACAATTGACGTCACGAACAGGATTAAGAGCTAGACAAATGGCGCTGTGAGCAGGATTCCAGGCCTTCGCCTTAGCTCAGCAGTAGCCAGACACATGCTGTTGTTATTACTAATATTGATACACCTATGTGATCATACAAGTTTAGAGATGCTAGAAAGAAGTTCAAATTGACAGTCAGGTATTTGATATTTTATAAGCTGAAGCCAAATAGCAGATTTTGGCAATATTTCTAAATTGAAGCAGAACTTTTCATGCTTTTATAGTGAGTATTGCAATGCGTATTCTTATATCTTACTATGTTTCAATCATATTATTTATTTTGATTCCTTTCTGTCATTGCAACCATTTTATTATATCTAGGCAAGATCAAATGATCTATGTGCCAGCCAATAGGTTTTTGGACATAAAATTAGACTGCTAATTATTTCTTTTTTTTTTTTTTGTCCTTTTTGAGACCGGCCACACCACGCTCAGCCAGTGAGTGCTGTGAGCGCACTGGTCATCCCTATATAGGATCCGAACCCGCGGCGGGAGTGCTGCTATGCTCCCAGTGCCGCACTCTCCCGAGTGTGCCACGTGCTCGTCCCAATTATTTCTATTTTTAAATTCCACTTGTGACATCAAACAGTCTGTTTTAATCTATTTTATTCATTTATCTTATTTCACTTTGTTTGTTTGCAACCAGGCATCATTCCCAGAAATATTGTACTTCTAATATTTTGCTTGGCCAGTGTTACATAACTCGTTGGCTTCATCTGCTAGCATTATCTCAAAACCATGTGTTCTTTATTTTATCAGAGTCGATAAAGCCATGTTGGGGATTTATCTTCCAGGATATAAGGAAGTCTGTGTTGTTAGCTCTTTTGCTTGTATGATTAATTCACCATTTTGCAGCACATCAGGAGCCCTCTTCTGCTCAGTTACTGTGTGTGAACTCTTAGCTTCTCTTTCTACTGGTTATTAAGTGTAACAACTGATACATTTTTGTTACAGAATGAACTTTTCCCCCAGTATTACTTGTCTTATCATTTCTAGCATCTACTACTTAGTTATACAAAATAAAACAAAACAGGTAAATACCTATGCTTGGAACTGCATATACTCTTAATAGAAGAAACTAATACTTTGTATAGTAATGTACATACCATAATACTTCCTTTGCTTGCTAAACTCAATAAAAAAATAAGCAAAGCCTGTAATATTTATTCATGTTTTATATTATATAAGTTATTTCTTTTTTTGGATCATTGTGAATTCATAGTCTTTTATACATTCAAACAATTTTAATTAATCATCAGAATAAAATAAATTAATTTTGTACTTAAATTATTTAAACTCATCCTTGGACTTCTGTTAATCTCACCTTTTACCTGTGAAAAAGATTGTGTCTTTACTACAGAATTTCACATTTCCTTTTTTTTTTTTTTTGCCTTAAGAAGCCTGCTTTCTATCATCTAGGAAGATTTTGGGGTTTAATCAATAGCTCTATCACCTCTTCTGCAACTCCAAAACAATGTTTATCAGAGCTTTTGCTAATTGTTCACATTATCTTTTTGCAATCTTAACTGTATCTCAAACACAGCTTCACATTCAGCTCAGAGAACTTTCTAGAACAGAGCTTCTCATATTATTTAAATCATGCTTGCTTTCTGGGAACAAGAGAATGTGCCATATCTATTTTATTTTTTTTCCTGCTCTAAGCAAAATTCATATATCTGCTAGGAGTCCTAGATCCTTTTAATAAAAAGGAAAAGAGAAAGATGAGGGAACATTTGTTAAATTTTTATTGGTCATAATGATCATTTCTTTTAGGTCATTGCTAAATACTTTTAGCTAAACGAAGAAAAACAAATTGAGAAATTCCACACGACACAGTGATCTAGTGACTTCAGCATACATATGGAAGTCTCCACTGACTGTTTGTGGACACTGCTTAGTCAATTTCCTCTTTTTTCATGCCCCATCTCCCAGAGTGAATCATGGGGAACCCCAGTCCTTCTTTTGAGTTAACTGTCTTAGAGTGACAACTTTCTATTCTCACCAAAATACTCAAGATTGGTGTTCAAGCTCAAGTATTTCTGAATATATTCCTCTATCCACAGAAATATACCCTGATCCTCTTGTCTGCTGGACAGCAGAGAGTAATCACGATGGCCCCGGAAGAGCCTCAGTGTAAACGTGAGTGCTTTCTCTCCTGCCAACTTTAAAGAGGCAGACAGGATTGTGACTTAGACTGAAAAGTGTAAACTGATGGTAGTTGTGAAGTTGAAGATGATGATGATGGAGTGGAGGAAGCAGAAGAAAATGAGGATGGATTTGATGAAGACAAAGGACATAGACAGGTTCAAATTAGCTGGGTGGCAGAAACTTCTCTATAAAGTGTAGTTTGGGTCAAGGGAGGAGATAAAGTATATACAAGAAAAATAAGATGGAAAGAGAGTAATTTGATAAGAATCTTTTAAGGGAAGAGAGAGAAAGAAGATGTAGAAAACCCACTGACTTAGGCTTATGGTGTGTGAGAGGCTCTGACTTTGTCCTGTGTTATGTCTGACTTAAGTAGCACGATGGATTCGCATTGTGAGAATATTAAATAATATTATTTGAGAAATATATACAACACATGCAGAAATATATAAACTTAAAAATTAAAGTTTGGTTTCGTCTTATCACCCCACCATGGGATCAGACTGTATAAAGGTTCTGAAAAATACCTTTTTTATGTAACAGTAGGTCTTGTAGATTTTTTAGGTCAGTACATGCTAATATGCATGATTACTCAATTTATTGCTCTATAGTATTTCATCATGTGGATGCATCATAATTTAGAATTTCTACTATTGATAATACAGATGTAAGCATTAAGTTGCAGTGTTTTTTTCTATTTCTGTGGTATGGGAATGAATATCCTTTAACATAAGTCAGTCAGTTATTTCTACACGATAGATCTCGAGAATTGCAATTCCTGTGGCAAATGTTATGCATTTAAAAATTGATTAATGTTGCTAAATTGCTCTTTTAAAAGGCTTTTCTAATTTACAGTCTCAGCAACAGCACTTATTTCCTCACTGAGAGTGCTAATTTTCCTCTCGGCCTTGCCAACACTGCATATTATCAATTTTAAAAATGTGATATATGAAAAATCATAGTACAATATTTTAGTTTACATTTCCTTGATTGACCATAGCTTTATTTGTTTAATGGCCACTTATAATTTCAGTAAATCAAATTTCACTTAAATTTAAATTAAATTTCGGTGAATCAAATTTACTGCTCGAATTTTTGGTCAGTTTTTAAGTTGATTTTCAAAATTCTTTATACAGTATGTACATCAATATGTGACAAGATTTTTCTTCCATGTTTTTCTTGTCTTTTAATACTGTTGTGTTATATAGAAGTTTTAATTTTCATGTACCCCAATTATCAATTGTTTGTGTCTTTTGGGTTTTGTGTCTTGCTTCTAAAAGCCTTTCCTAGTCCAACATTTTTAAAAAGTTAACATTTTTAATTCTTATTTATTTATCTGTAAGGCTTAAAATTGATTTATTCAGAGGAGATATTTAACATTACCTATTTATTTTCCTTTCTGTCCTAATAGATGGAGGCTGGCATTCCATTGCTATTGTTTTCACCTCACTTCTTGGTGCCTGTTTTATTTCGAGTTGTTTTGGTACGTTATTAGCCCAAATGGAAATCTCTTTGAACCATTTTCTCAAATAACTTTTATAAAGTTGCTCTAAGCCTTTTGCTACTTGATTATCTCTAATGTATCACTTTATAACGCCTTCAGGGTCTTGGATTTAAAATTCACAGCTATATACTTGACTTTCTATTCTTTGATGGTGCTGCTTTGTGTCAGGGAATGAAAGATGGAATTTAGAGGATTTAGAGCATTTTCTATACATGTGAAGTTTGGTGACTATAGTAAATTATCCTCCATTTTGAGCTGGATTTACAAAAGGCTCCTTTTTATGAGTAAAGAGCAAGCAGGAAAAAAACAGTTTTCAGATGGACTGGCTTTAAAAAGAAGTATGACGTTGGAAGACTCATTCATTCATTCTTTTTTTTTTTTTTTTCCTTTTTTTGTCTTTTTTACTGACCGGTATCGGGATCGCAACCCTCGGTGTCGCGCCCATACCGGGGACTGGCAACGGGATTGCAACCCTCGGTGTTGTGCCCACACCGCGCTCAGCCAGTGAGCGGGAACTGGTCCCCACATGGGATCCGAACCCTTGGCGGGAGCGCCGCCGTGCTCCCAAGCGGCGCACTCTCCAGTGCGCCACTGGGCCGGCCCCATGCATTCTTTTTTTTAAAATCACTTTATTGAGGTATGATTAACATATAAAAAGCTGTGCCTACATAATATATACATCTCAAGTTTGGGGACAACTAAACACCTGTGAAACCATCACCACCATCATAGCCATAGGAAGACTTTTTTTCTAATATCAAGACCTACAATAAAGTTATTATAATTAAAGTAATATAGTATAGGTTCTAGATAAATAGACCCGAGGAAAAAAACAGAGAGCTTAGCTGCAGATTCTGCCTATATAAACGCTCTATATAAAAACAGAAGAGGGGCTGGCTGGTTAGCTCCGTTGCTTGGAGCATGGTGCTGACGATGGCAAGATCCAGGGTTTGATCCCTGTACTGTCCAGTTGCCAAAACAAAATGAAACAAAACAAATCAAAAACAGAAGACGATATTGCAGTTATGAGGCAAAGACAGTTTTGTTTAATTAATGGTGGATTATTGGCCAAAATGTGAAAAACAAATCAATAAGGTTTAAAAAGATAAATGGAGAATATATCTTCATGACCTTGTGGCAGGGAATGATTTCTTAAACATGGCATAAAATGCATTAGAAAATAAAGAAAATATTGACAAATTATACTATATCAAATGAATTACTGTACAACAAAATATAACACTAAAAGCAAAAACAGCACACATAGGAGAACATATTTGTAATGCACATAATTACAAAGGATTAATGTGCAAAATATATAGAAATCTTTTAAATCAATAAGAAAAATACTGACAGTACAATAGAAAAATAGGAAATACAGTAGTATGAATAAGCACTATAGAAAATAGAAAGTGAAATGTCTAATAAACATACAAAAAGGCATTGTTTTCATTAGTTTCAGGGAAATACAAATGCAACTCACAGTGGGATAACACTGCAAATATGCCAGAATGGCAAGAATTAAAAAGTCTAGCACTACAAAATATCAGTGATGCTGTGGAATAACTGGACCTGTAATGAATTGCTGCTGGTGGGAGTGCAGAGCAGTACAACCACTGTGCAAAAGTTTCCACTTTGGAAAACTATTATAGTTGACACTGTATATCCTATTAACAGCACTTTCACTCCTACAGAAATGCATGCTTTTGTGCTCTAGGATGTATGGTCAAAAATGCTCAGAGCAGCATAGTCACAGCAGCCAAACACTGGAAACAATACAAATATTGACTAGAAGTAGAATAATAAATACATTTTCTTGCATTAAGGCAATAGATCACTTTACAGCATGAACAAATTACAGGAACAATGCCCAGCAGAAGACGGAACCAAAAGAAAACATACTCTATGACTGCACTTCTAGAAAGTTCAAAAGCAGGCAAATTTGATCTATATGGTTTGGGGATATGTTATTAAGTGGTAAAATTGTGAAGCAAAGCACAGAGTGGTTACTTTGAAGTCCATGGAATGAAATCTTTAAGAAGGAGGGGGTGGGTTGCATTTGGGATGTGAAGGCCACCTGAGGTGTTGGCAATATTTCTGTTTTTTGAGCTGGTTAGTTGTTACTTGGAGTGTTCACTTAATAATTTGCTAAAATGTACATTTATGTTTTCACTTTTTTACATTTGGTTATATTTTAAAGTAATAATATTTAAAATAAATAAATAAATAATAAGGTTCATAAAACTTTGCAGAACTATCCCAGTGTTCACCAAAAAATCACTGTAACACAAATTCTAATAGGAAAATATACTTAAAAGCACGCGCAGACAAAAGTTTGCAAAACTCCCCCTGTAAAGCACAAAATGGACAATATGATAGTTAAAATATTAATTTTCACCAGTTGCTTTCAAACAATTCACCTGGAGTTGGAACAAAGGGGCTGCATAGGAAGAAAAGAAAATGAGGTGTCTTAATTATTAGGGTAAGAGAAAGGTTAGAGAGATTGGACCCTATTTCCCTAATTAGCTGGTTATACAGAAAAAGGAAACTAACTCTATTTCCTTGTTGACAGTGACTCATTACAACTTTGCACGCTGTAAAAGAGGCATGGGAGTGTCCAAGTTACCAGAGTACTACAAGAAGCTGACGTGTAGCAGACAGAAATCAGAACTGAAAGGTACAGAGAGCAGAGTATAGGAGAATTTCTTTCCTATTTCTGCTTCCATTGAAATTCATAATCTGATGTAAAGAATATTAGTAGTAAGCTAGGAAAAATGAAAATAACACACAAGAGTAAATATCAGTAAATTGAGATAATTTCTCATGACTGCAATCAGTTGAATAACTGGAGAATATCTTAACATACTTATGAGACTTTTTTGACACCAAAACATAACATTAATTTAATCCCATTTTCCCTTGATTTAGACATATCATAAGGACTCTTTTCTCCTAGAATATACAGTTTGCTGAGATGTTTTTCTCTCTTTTATTATTCTGTAATTTGTAAAGTCTCATTTGAGAGAACGGGGAAATGCTTGAGTTTTAGCAGATTTTTTTTGCCCCTTTCAGATAAAATGTCCTGCAAAATGCTTTGTTATGAAAACACTTTAAGTATGAAAGCAAATAGATGTAGGGACATTGAATAATGATATATCTTCTGAGAATACTCGGCAATTTTCTCATAGTCAGTGTGTGATTTCAGAAACTTCTGTTTAGAAGATATTTAGAAAAGTAATTTTCAGGATTTTGGGGGGGGCACGAAGGAGAGAATGATTTTTGGTAATCCTGGTATTATTCCCACAAATGTTAATTGGATATTAAGTAGTAGAATCGTTATGCAACCTGTCACAGATGAATCGCTCCTCTGTATCTAATTTCCATTTCAATTTTCACCTGAGGGAGTACCTGGAGTTGCTGTCCTGCTGGCTGGAGAGGTTTCCAATCCAACTGCTATTTACTTCTTAATGACAACAAGACATGGGCTGAGAGTGAGAGGAACTGTTCAGGGATGGGGGCCCATCTGGCGACCATCAGCACAGAAGCTGAGCAGGTGTGTCAGGAGGCTCACACCAGTTTCCCTGCTGCTTTGAATCTCTTTGTAGAGAAAGAGGAATTTCTCTGCTCTTTCATGTTTCTGTACCTTTGCTTTATCTATTCCATCTGCCTGGAAAGCCTTTTCTTTGTCTCCCATTTTGCTTTATATGGCCAATTTCTTCTCGTGTTTCCGGATTTGATTCACGTGCTGTTTCCCCCAGAAACCTGCCCTGACCACCTTCCCTGCTCCACCCTCCCTATTCTAAGTTGGAGGTACTTCTGTGGTGCTTTGTGCACAGTGGGGTTATGGTCAGTATACCGTAATTGTCTATTACTCTGTCTCTGCCAATGACGCCTACTTGGTGGTCTGCGGCCATGCTTTGCTCATCTTGGCATCTCCAATGTCCTGTGCAGTGCAAGGTACACTGGATAGGTCTTGGTAAATGTTTGATGAGTAGGTGAATAAATGAATGGTTAATCAGGACTAAAAGAACTTCTCGGGATAAAGTATAGGAAAAAATAGTTCCAATGTATGGTTCTAATTCTAAATAAATCTTAAGGTAAATCCAATTCTTTAAAAGCTGAAGTTTATTTTCATATGTGTACCATGCCTCAGATTCTACTCTTTTCCTGGTCAGTAGTTTACTTGAGGATTCTGTCTCCACGGCTTTGCAATCTATGGGTTCACTGGCTCTTTGAATAAAATGGAAATGATAAAATAGACAAACAACTAAAGAAGGAGATTTTAAAAACAAAAGCTCCTAAAATAATTCAGTCCTATTAATCATTGTTCTAAGAGGGTTATAAGTATGATCTCACTTAATCTTCACAGTAACTGTATGAAGTAGTGAAGCTGTCCCTTTTGGAGATGAGAAAACCAGGGATTCTGTGAGATTAAAGCACTTACTGACATTACAAGCAGGATTTGAAAACAGATCTATCTGATGCTAAAGCTTTTGTGCTTAACCTGTAACCTACTTGACTTCTTTCCTCTTCCTCCAGCACAACAGCCGTCACCTGATAAGTGCAAATATATTTATACAAATTTACATTTTTTATGCAGAACTTTATTATTCAATTTTTGGATAGACGATTTTCATATTTCCTGGGACTTACAGATGAGAACACTGAAGGTCAGTGGCACTGGGTGGACCAGATGCCATTTAACCCACACATGGTGTGAGTATATTGACTGGGCTAAGGGGGTTAATAGGCAAAGGAGAGAAGAGAGTAGCAATAAGAATTCATTTTGGGGTAGAGTACACTGAAGCAAAAATGCTTACTCAACATAGAGCCCTCTGTGTTGAGCAACCTCTATAACTATGTCCCAGTAACAGAATGATCCTCTAACTTTACTGAAAATTTCAGTATCCTTATTTGAAAATGTCAATAAAAGAACAAATAATGTGGGAGTACTGTGAAAAAAAACATTTCTAAGTTTTGATATTTGGGGTAAACAACATGATAACAGATAAAAATTGTTTTTGAAACAGAGTTATAACCTTGCCATTTTCTTCCTCAAAACCAATGTTGTCTAATATAAATATAATGTACAACCACGTGAATAATTTAAAATGTTCTAGTAGCCACATTAAGAAAATAAAAAGAGACAGCTAAAATTTATTTTAATGTATTTTATTTAACTCAGCGTATCCAAATCTTATTACTTCCACATGTAATCCATATAAAATTATTACTGAGATCTTTTGCATCCTTTTTTGGTGCTAAGTGTTCAAAAGACAGGGGACTTCAAAAAGTTCATGGAACATGTGTATTATAAAAAATACTATGAATGGATTTCAAAATTTGTTTTGCACCAAAATAAATTTCTACTAACTTGTTATAACATATATGAACAGGATCTAGTTTGAGGCACTAAGAAAGATAAGACATCAGCTTGAAAAGAGCCCCTATCAGAAGAGCACATGAATTCTGCTAAAATTGAAGAACAAACATCAAATTTATAGTGAAGCTTGGGTGGAAGAATGGTGAAGTCACTGATGCTTTATGAAAAGTTTATGGGGACGATGCTACAAGGAAATGAGCAGTTTACAGATGGATAACTCGATTTAAGAAGGGACAAGACAATGCTGAAGATAAAGCTCACAGCAGCAGAACATCCACATCAATTTGAAAGGAAAAAGTTAATCTTGTTTGTGCCCTAATTGCAGAGGACTTACGATTAACAGCAGAAACAATGGCCAACGTCATAGGAATCTTGGTTCATTCAGCTTACACAATTCTGTCTGAAAAATTATAGTTGAGCAAACTTTCTATTCAATGGGTGCCAAAATTCTTGCACCCAGATCAGCTGCAGACAAGAGCAGAGCTTTCAATGGAAATTTTAAACAAGTGAAATCAAGATCCTGAAGCATTTCTTCAAAGACTTGTCCCAGGAGATGAAACATGGCTAAAGCAGTACAATCCTGAAGACAAAGCACAATCAAAGTCATGGCTACCAAGAGGTAGAAGTTGTCCAGTCAAAGCAAAAGCTAACCAGTCAAGAGCAAAGGTCATGGCAACAGATTTTTTGGAATGCTCAAGGCATTTTGCTTGTTGACTTTTTGGAGGGCCAAAGTATGATATAATTTGCTTATTATGAGAGTGTTTTGAAAAAGTTAGCCAAAGCTTTGGTGGAAAAAGTTAGGGGAGAGCTTCACCAGAGAGTCCTTCTCCTGCATGACAATACTCCTGCTCATTCCTCTCATCAAATGAAGACAATTTCATGAGAGTTTTGATGATAAATCATTAGGCATTCACCTTCCAGTACTAATTTGGCTTTTTCTAACTTCTTTTTGTTTCCTAATCTTAAAAACTCTTTAAAGGGCAACCATTTTTCTTCAGTTAATAATGTAAAAAAGACTTCATTAACAAGGTTAAATTCCCAGGACCTCAGTTCCTTGGGGTGGACTAAATGATTGGAATCATTGCTTACAAAAGTGTGTTGGACTTGATGGAGCTTCTGTTGGGAAATAAACTTTATATATTTTTTATTTTTATCTTTTAATTCCATTTTCTATGAACTTTTTGAAGACCCCCTCATGTGCACTTGACATGTAAAGCACATCTCAATATAGCGAAGCCACATTTTAAGTGCTCAGTAGCCACATATGGCTAGTAACTATTGTACTGGCCAGTGCAGGTCTAAATTGTTCACTAGGGGCATTTTCTCTAGATTGTTCCTGATATCTTTTATTGTTTGTGAGTATGTATATTTATTCTGTTTTTTTTTTCTTTCAGATTCTGGCATGAGAATGAACCCAGTAACTCTCAGGAAGAAAATTGTGTTGTTCTTGTTAATAACCGAGATAAATGGGCCTGGAATGATTTTCCTTGTAACTTTGAGACCAGCAGGATTTGTAAGATACCTGGAACAGCACTCAACTAGAAACCTACAAAGTGGTTCTTGTGATAGAGATGGAAAATAAGAACCAGTTAGAATAGGGCAGAATGTATGTGCATCCTTGGAATAGAGAAAACATTCTGGGTCTCAGAGTAGTTTTCAGTTATGATGATTTTAATTATTTTTGTTCAATTCTTTTAAGATAATGCATGTGCACGTGTGGGTGTGTGTTTGAGGTAATGTGATTTTGTAAGGTGTTTTGGTGGAATGAATCATCTTTTTTGTGAAAGCCAGTTTTCATTATCTTTGCTTTCTTGATAGTGTTTCAAGGTATTTACTTTTCAATCAATATGCATTTTTTATTACATATCTAACAGGATGGCTTGAATAATGCATCTCTTTGTTATTTTACCTGCTTAGAATCTTAGCTCCTAACATTCAAAGCTGAGATATTCTAACTGGTAGTGGTGCATCATTTTTTAAACTCAAATATCATAAATACTTTAAAGTTTTAAACATTTTTATTATTTGATGCTTCATTTTCATACTTTTAAATAATATTGGTCATTCTATTAATATTCCGTGAACAAAATTTTTTCAGAACAACAGTATAGAATAGTTTTGAAATATGGTATTTGTGCAGGCAGAAAAAAAAGTCCATGTACCTTTTAAAAAATTTATTTCTTTCTTTATGCTAAATGTCTTCTCAAAGCAGGGAGTCTCAAGCTGACTTAATTTCTTTTTGAGTGGAATCCCCTATAAGCCACCTTAATTAAACACCTTCAGTTCTATAGCTGAGGAAATAAAACCTCCAGGAAGCCAAAGGGCTCACCTTCACTTTCCTAGTTCATGACAGAACAGGATTATGGCCCAGATCTACCCTTCATTAGAGATGAAATGCATTCCCTTTGCTATTACAGGAAAGTTACTGGGAGTGACTTGGCCTTTTTACTTGGTTAACAGATAGACAAAATTTCTTAATTATTTGAAGTAACATTATATTAGTGTTTTCATTTGTAATTTGAATCAGAAAGAATCACATTTTCAATCCATTTATATAAATTGTTAACGGGTTTCTTCAGAGCTATAAAGCTATACTCAAAGTAGCAAGAAAGTCATTGTCTTGACAACTAGAATTATGCTTTTTTGATGTATGTAGTATTAAATGTGTGGAGCAGTCACATCCAACTTCCACAAAATGTGGTGGTCTTTCTTAAAATTCTCAATCTGCTGATGTTTCCTGAATCGGAGCTGAAAAATTTCAAGCAACAGCCTTTTAAACTAATTTCCCTACTACTATTTTAAACAACTGTATTTTCTTTGTAAATTAGTTATTGATTTTCTGGGTTTGGAATATTGGTGTTTGAAAAAAAGTGTGGTGACGTATATGTATTTACATTTAAAGCTGATACTTTTTTTTTTTTTTTCCTTTTTTTTTTGTGTGTTTTTTCGTGACCGGCAACGGATCGCAACCCTCAGTGTCGCGCCCGTACCAGACTGGGACCGGCAACGGGATCGCAACCCTCTGTGTTGCGCCCGCACCTCACTCAGCCAGTGAGTGGCCGGTCTGTATGTGGGATCCAAACCCTCAGCGGGAGCGCCGCCGCTCCCAAGTGGCACACTGTAACAGTGCGCCACCGGGCCAGCCCTAAAGCTGATACTTTTTTTTTTTGTCTTTTGTCTTTTTCCGTGTCCGGCAACAGATCGCAACCCTCAGTGTTGCCCCCGTACCGGACTGGGGACCGGCAGCGGGATTGCACCCCTCGGCGTTGCTCCCGCGCCTCGTTCAGCCAGTGAGCGGGAACCGGTCTGTATGTGGGATTCGAACCCTCGGGCGGGAGCGCCGCCGTGCTTCCCAAGCGGCACACTATCCAGTGCACCACCGGGCCGGCCCTAAAGCTGATACTTTTAACTGAAGTGGTGCTAAGTAACTTTGTGTTTCCATATTCACCAAATTACATACCACAAAGCCTACAAAATCTGTAACTTTATGTAAATGCTAATGGGCTTTGGATAATTAATATTACTTGCTTTTAATTTGTATAAAACTGTGTATAGGTAAAGATTCAGTTGTCAATAAAAGATGATCTTTGTGATTTTATTCGTCCATGTGTACATCTCTACGTGTAATCTATTTCTCCCAGTGCCAGTCATCTTTCATGACCTCCATGGCCAGCACCACAGGCCAAGCTACCGTCTCCCTCACCTGGATTACTGCGGTGCCCTTTGAATTGGTCTCTTTCAGTCTAGTCTCAGTGCTCGTGGCACTTGGCCTATTCTCCACAATTTATCAAGACAGTTGACAGTAATTTCATAAAAGTAGATTCTAATTATTTTAGTACATTATGGTAATCCTAGAAGCTTGAAACACTGAAAAATGTCAAGTGGCGTTTTTATTTTTGAAAAGTAATGTATATATGTGTTTAAAAGGCAAACAGTAAAAGCATTAATAAAAGTGTAAAGTAAATTTGTCTTCCACCCTGAACTCCAGTTCCCTAAATGCCTCTTCAGAGTGTTTATATATACTATATATAACTATGTATACTACATATGAAGTGTCTAAGTATATATACTATATATAAACTATATACATGTACTATATATATATACTATAAACATGTAGTATATATGGGACTGATAGAATGCATTTATTTATTATATAAATATACATGGATATATAATCCACAATTTTTTACACTAATAGAAACATTTCTTAATATTTTCTTAACATTCTTAAACATCTTGATTTTTTTACTTAACAATATAGTTTGGAAATTATTTTATATCTTGTTATTTTTAAGTGAACAGTGTTTTATTGCATGGTTGTACAACAATTTTAAATAATGTTAAAATTACAAAATGTTTCCTTTATAATAAAAATCAACAAAATAATGGCTGTGAAACAAACTGCGAGAGCAATCCCAATTCAGATTAGGAAGGGATGGCAATGTTCCAAGAAGGATATTTTTCCCCCATGAAAATATTGCACTGATAGAATGCATCTAAAATGTTTTGAGGGGTGACGTACAGTTCTGGAGAGTTAGGGGATGAATTATATCAGTACATAGAAAATTAGATAAATATAAAAAATAATGCCAAAATTAACTACATGAAAAGCAAAATGTGTTTAGGAATATATAATAATAAAGTATATGATTCAGCTGTAAATAATATTTACATATTTGTAATAATGTAAATGTTGAATATGGATTTAAAAATAAATTATAGTGACAGCGAGGGGATGGGAATTGTGTGTGTGTAGAGGTGAGAGAGAGAGAGAGAAAGGGAAGTTCTTGTTTTCATTAGTGTGGAGTTAATAGAAATGATCTAGAATTTTAAAAAATCAAGAAATTATAGTACAAAATATATTTAGAAACTGTTAGGAAGAAATAGAAACATAAAACTCAATAGAAGAAGAAACATCTAAAGAGTTAAATGTGGTTGCCTCTTGGGCATGGGAATCAGAAGAAAGCAGAAAACAGCTATTTTTAATTACAATACTGGTAGAAGAATTTGTTTTTTTAAACAATGTACTTGGATATTTGGTGGTCAACATGGTGAATGGACAGTCCCCACGGTCTCTCCCACAAATCAACTGATTTACAACTATTGAAAAGCAACGACAGCCAAGCTGGGGCCACTAGAGCTCAGGGGAAGAG